TGGGCCTCTAGTCCTATCTAATAAAAGAGAAACATGGTAATTGGCATATGACCGCTACCCTTCCTATTGGCTAATTAGCAAGATATGCAAAAATTAACTGCCAGCCAAGATGGTGGCCGGCAGCCAGGCAGCTTGAAACTAACATGAGGCTTGCTTGCTTCAGTGACGGAGGACTCCAATGTTCCCCACCTGCCACTGCAGGCCTCTGAGCTGCAACTCTAAGCAACTATGTAACAAATATAGAAGCTAAACAAAACCCCAGAAACCTGCTTTCAGCGAGCCCGGGATCTCAGAGCTGGAGTTGATACAGAGTTTCGATTATAGAACCTAAACAAACCAGATACCTACTTTCAGCAGCTGAGGCCTCAGAGCTGGAGCCAGAGCTAAAGCTAGCCCAGAATAAAAAAAGAAAAAAAGGAGCAGTTGGGAGCTTCAGTCCCAGCCTGAAAACATACCTCAGCCCCTCACCCAGGCTGGCCAGGCACCCCAGTGGGGACCCCCACCCTGATCCAGGACACCCTTCAGGGCAAACCAGCCAACCCCACCCATGCACCAGGCCTCTATTCTATATAGTAAAAGGATAATATGCCTCCCAGCACTGGGATCAGCGGAGCCACGAGGCCTCCCGGCATCGGGATCAGCGTGACAGGGGGCAGCGCCCAAACCCCCTGATCGCCCTGCAGCTCTGTGTGTGACAGGGGATGGGGCCACAACCTCTCTATCGGCCCTGCTCTGTTCCTGACAGGGGAAGGCGCCCCAACCCCCTGCTCGGCCCTGCTCTGTGCCTGATAGGGGGAGCTCCCCAACCCCCTGATCACCCTGCGGCTCTGTGTGTGACAGGGTGCGGCGCCCCAACCCCCACCCCCCACAGGCCCTGCTCTGTGTGTGACAGGGTAGAGCCATACCTCCCCATTGGCCCTGCCCTCAGTGTGACAGTGGCAGCGCCCCAACCCCCTGATCCGCCCTGCTCTGTGCGTGACAGCAGGGAGCTCCCCAACCCCCGGATTGACCCTGCTCTGTGCGTGACAGGGGGCAGTGCCCCAACCCCCTGATTGGCCCTGCTCTGTGCGTGACAGGGGGTGGCGCCGCAACCTCCCCATCGACCCTGCCTTGAGTGTGACAGGGCCAGTGCCCCAACCCCCCAATCGGCCCTACTCTGAGCGTGACCGAGGGTGGCATCACAACCTCCCAATCCGCCCTGCTCTGTGCATGACAGGGGGCGACACCCCAACTCCCCAATCAACCCTGCTCTGAGCCCGACCAGGGGCTGCACCTAGGGATTAGGCCTGCCCTCTGCCACCCAGAAGCAGGCTTAAGCCAGCAGGTCGTTATCTCCCGAGGGGGTCCCAGAATGCTAGAGGGCACAGGCCGGGCTGAGGGACCTCCCTCCCCCCCGAGCGCACAAATTTTTGTGCACCGGGCCTCCAGTCTTTATTTAAAAGGCTAATATGCTAAGTGTCCGACTAGTTGCTATGACGTGCACTGACCAACCGGGGGCAGATGCTCAATGCAGGAGCTGCTGTGATGTGCAGAGAAACGTCACCGCAGACCTGGCGCCCACACAGCAGCACTCGGCTTACCCCAAGAGGGACACAGGCCCTGCCACCACCCTGGAGTGACACCCCACCAAATTGCAGCTAATGCTGCTGAGAACCTCAGAGGAAGGAAGAAGAAAGGAAGCAGATGTGCAGCGAGTAAAGAAGAAAGAAGCTAAAAGAGAGCTACAGGCCAAATTTGAGCATCTTAAAAAAGTTCACCAGGGTGGAGAAAAATGGCGACTGGTAGGAAGGTAGGAAGGGAGAGAGTGTGAGAGTGCAAGGAAGTGATAGAGGACTGTGTGACGTGTGTGTAATATTGTGCTTTGTGTTGATATTTACTGCTGTGTAACTGACCATTACCTGAAGTTGGGGTGTCACACTGGGCTGGAAAAAGTTTAGCTAAATCAGAAAGCAGGTCTAATTAAGCAAGTTTGTTCTATATATAAAAGGCTAAATTGGCTCGTGCATGGGTGATACATATAAAGCTCTCACTGGTGCCAATCCCATGTGTGTGTTTTGATCTGTCATTGTTGATTGTGAATTTGGTTGACATTTCTATTATATAGAAAGGGCGAGTAGCAATATTAAAATATTTCTTCTAATTAATTTCCTTTCAATGTGCTTGAATATGTGCACCGGGCCACTAGTATATTAATATTACCTCATTTAATTCTCAGAACAACTCAAGGAGATTACTCCTATTTGCCCCCTTTGGCAGATGAGGAAACGGAGGGACAGAGGAGTTGTGACTCGCCCAAGGAGCAGAGTTCTTACAGCAAGGTCACATTCTTGATTTGTGTCCTTTGTTCCCTCAGTACTAGTTTGTTGACATTTCTCCAGATTCTAGACTCTTGTCTCTAGGGACAGTTTAAATATCAGGGAAATGTTTCTATGTCTTAGCTCAGGCTGCCATAACAAAATACCACAGACTAGGTGCCTTGAACAACAGAAATTTATTTATTTCTCACAGTTTTGGAGGTTGGGAAATGCAAGATAAAAGTGCCAGTAAGTTTAAGTACTGTGAGGGCCCTCTTCCTAGTTTGCAGATGGCCACCTGTTTTTTTCTTTAAAAAGAATTATTGATTTAGAGAGAGAGAGAGAGAGAAGGGAGGGAATGAGAGAGAAACCAATTTCTTGTTCTACTTATTTATGCATTTATTGGTTGTTTCTTATATGTGCCCTAATCAGGGATCAAACCTTCAACCTTGGTTTATCAGGTTGACTCTAACTACTGAGCTATCTGGACAGGGTCAATGGCCATCTTCTTGCTGTGTCCTCACGTGGCAGTGAGCGAGACAGAGAGACATACAGCAAGCACTGGGTGAATGCCCTAGAGAGCAAGAGTTAGCTCTCAGTCCCTTTTTCCTACTTACTCCCATCCTGGGACCCCACTCTAATGACCTCATCGAAACCTAATTACTTCCCAAAGGCCCCAGATTCAAATATCATCACATTGGGGATTATGGCTTCAACATAAGCATTGGAGATGGTAGAGGTGCAAACATTCAGTTCATAACTCCCTAGTACCTATCTATAGCTTCCACTCACCTTTCCTTGTGTGTGTGGCTGGAAATCCCTGCCCAAACCACCCAGCGATTAAGGCAGGAAAAGGGCGCCCTCTCTGTTGTATAGAACTACTTTATGGAAACTTGATCAGGCTATTTGTGATACTTAATGGCACGAATTACTGAAATTCATGGTGTGGCTTGGGTAGTCCTGGCTGAGGAGGAACCTGAACACTAAACCGCGTGGAGTGAGATTTTGATCAGTGGTCTGGGAACCAAAGGATATCTTGTTCATTCCATCATTTATTTATTCATTCATTCATTCATCCATCCATTCATCAAATATTAAGGGCCAGGGTCTATGCTATACACTGGGGATAGAATGATGGGCTAAAATGCTATCCCTAACCTTATGGAGGTTATAGTTTACAGGTAATAGTTTTAGATGTGACCCTCCAATTCAAAGATAGGTAGAGAAAGTATTTATCATGGCTTTTAAATTCTTGTGCACATGGCCAAAGTAAAGCTCTGGCCACATGTCAATAGGGAGGACACTGGTTGGTTCCCTTCTCAGAAAGTCAGGGG